ATGCTGGTCAGCTAACGAGGTAATGAAAAATGATAGTATCAAGATATGGCAGAATATAAACCTGAGAAGCGAACAGTAAACTTGGGGGTGCTTTTATCCTGTGAGCATATTCTGGCTCCCGAAAAGGTAACGGAAAGGCTGAGAAGCTGAGCAGCATTTTTGACAGGCAGGGCTAAGGGAACATAAACTGGAGTCTAAGAATTCCTAGGGGAAAGACCTTAGAAAGCCTTCCCCACTTTGAGATGGGACCATGGTCACAGGTAAAAGGGTAGTACCAAAACATGGAGGTAAACCAGAAGTAGACAGGTCCTCACAGAGTGCAAAACCCAGTTTTAGATCCCCTAATCCCTGAATGCTAGAGCTACTAGTCTCTTTCAAGAAGCAAACTAACATTTGCCTGAAAAATCATTCTAAGTCTTAAATTATTTCTGTGATATTTTACATACAATCTCCTGCACTCAAACAAAAAAATAGTAATTAGTTGCACAGGAAACAAGTAATATGACTAAAAATTAAGTGAAAGAGCAGATTATATAATAGAGTACAGGAGTTCTAGAGAAGGACTTACCAGGAGAAGTGTTTACAGTCATTACTGATGATGGATTCAAGAAAATACATAAAAACAGTATGAAAAATTTTGTCAGATAAATGGAACTGTAAAACACTATAAGCTGCTATAATCAGCATTTAAGCCTTAAGTGGGTGACTTTCATAAATACTTTTTACAACCAACTGATGGAAGTATTAGCAAGTTAGAAAACAGATCTAAGGAGAGTATATAGAATGAGGCGTTGATTATTAAAAGAAAGCAAACTACAGAAGAGACTCATAACTTTGTTGGTAAACTCAAAAATATTAAAACTTTAAATGCTTTTTAAAACATAAACAAATTTACAGTTCCCAATAAATTTACTATGCCAAATGAATCTAATGGAAAATATATCTATCTAGTCATAAATTTCACCAGTAATATTATATAGTATTTTTCTATACTATTGCTACAACACAACAGTGACTTATGAAAACTGTCACTATATGCATTATCTAGGAGATTAAAAGCAAATTTAAATACTCCTAATTGATAAACATAAGTGAGGATAACTGGGATTGATAACAGTAATTTTATATAATGCCTATGTAGTTTTTTCTGACCTGTTAGGCTTTTCTCCTTATATGTATATAGTCTCTAGAAATAAAACACTTCAAATAAATATACACACATTGAGATTAAAAAATACTAATTTGAGTTTTATAAATAAATAATTATCAAAGAATCTTAGAAAATTAATTAGGTTACCATATACAGTTGACCCCCTGTATTCACAGGTTCCACATCTGCATGTTCAACTAAGTGTGGATTGAAAATAATGGCATTAAAAAAATTGAAATAAAAATATAAACAAATAATTCAAAAATTAAAAAATACAAACAAAATGATATGGTATTACAATGATTTATGTAGTATTTACTTTTTACTAGGTATTATAAGTAATGTAAGAGACTTTCGGCCCTTATATTAAATAGTGTTGTATATGCATATAACCTGTGAACATTCTCCTACATACTTTAATATGTACTTTTAAAGTACATTTACTTATAATATGTAACGTGTTGTAGATAATGAGTAAGTAGTTGTTATGCCGTATTAGAAAATACTGACAAGAAAAAAAAGTCTATACATGTTCGATACAGATGCAACTATCATTGGCTTACCTACATTTTTGACCTGCAGTTGGCTGAATCGGAGGATGCAGAACTCATGGTTATGGAGTGCTGACTGTAATTAGTTTTTCATTTTTCTAAATACTGTCTCATACTGTAATCTGACAGGTTTAATTAAATATTGAAATATTTCCAAAAACCAAATCCCATCAAATATTAAAATAACATCAGGTTTCCTTTGCAAATAGCAACAACTATTTCAAAATTAAAAATTAATTAGAGAATAATTACTGCATAATCTCAAAAAGTCCTGTAAGCTCATTAAAAGTTGAAGCTTAAGGAGCTATAATTTAATATATTACAATACATGTAAATTCTATGTTAATATTCCCGCTTTTGCACCAGTCAGTAATACTAATGTGTTTAGTAATCTCAATTGCAAATCAGGGAAACACTATGAGAAAAAGACTCATAGCATTTCCCTGATTTGCAATTGAGATTGCTAAACACATTAGTATTACAACATGATTACACATTGTTTAACTCTATTTCAAAATGTCTCCATACTTGCCTCATTATATAAAATGTACTGTTCTTTGAACTAATGAAGAAAATTTGAATTTGTATGCCTATGAGATAAAATTTAATGAAAATAGTTTTTAAATTAAGTACAGAATTAAAAGACATTTGGACACAGTCAATATTCTTCAAAAGCCTTAAATCGTGAAAATGCTATTTGTCTTTTTAATATACCCTAAGCACATTCTCTAGTTAATCCTTGACCCAACTTCCCTTTCTCTATCAACAGCTTTTTTTAAAAGAAAGAATAAATGATAGGCAGTAATAAATATCTGGATATTTTAATAAAAGTGTGGTTAAACTATTAGTATAAGTTAGCCAGTCAGCACTAAAAACTATTCAAAATGACTTTATAAGATTAGGTTCCCAAGATTAAAGAACAGTGCGAAGTAATACATTTTTCTAGTGAATTCACAATATCGCTAGTGCAAACAAGGGAGAAAGAATATAAATCTAATTTTACTTTTCAGTTCTCTATGGTTTAATATTTAAAAATTCAGGCCTGGCATGGTGGCTTATGCCTGTAATCCCAACATTTTAGGAAGCTGAGGCAGGAGGATTACTTGAGGCCAGGAGTTCAAGACCAGCCTGGGCAACATAGGGAGACCCCCATCTCTAGCAAAAAAAAAAAAAAAAAAAATGTTTTTAAATAGTCATGTGTGATTCCACATGTCTGTGGTCCCAGCTACTCCAGAGACTGTGTTGGGAGGATCCCTTGAGCACAAGAGGCTGAAGCTGTAGTAAAGTGTGATCATGTCACTGGACTCCAGCCTGGACAACAGAGCAAGACCCTGTGTCTCAGGGGGGAAAAGAAAAGGAAAATCAGATTCTCCCTTGGGAGGAACAAAAAGGAAATAGTCATAATGCTGATTCTTCCATATTTTCAGCCAGCAGAAGAAATATCATACTGATCAAGTGTGAAAAAATTCTAATAATTCTTTACAAAAGCAGTCCTAATTAAAGTCGCCATGAACTGAGTTTTCAGAATTTATTGTATAGATAGACCATTTTTATATCTGCCTTATAGATACAGTTAGAAGTAGCCACTAAGTTTCATTAGAGTACTTATAGAACAATAATTTGCTTGAGTATTTATAGACTGAAAAAAACAAAATGCTACATTACCTGGTTATTTTCAAAATTAAAAAAAGGAAATACAGGCAGTTTTACAATTAGTGAGTCGAGGGCATTACCAACCACTTCCAAGCAATTGTATATGACAATTTTGGCTCCTGTTTCCCATCGTTACAGCATGTCTCAAAGGTTATAAAACCATATAAAAATTATCAATTTATTTTTCAAAATTCAACCGGATTGAGTTTTGTGCAATTACAATTTTAATAACTAATAATTTAAATCACCTAAAAACTTATATAATTTGATGTAAAGAATCAGCTATCATGTCAACTCTACTACAACATCCCAGCATTTTTATAATAAAAGATTCTCTCAATGAGTTTGGAAATATTCCCATAGCACCAAGCTAGCAGGCAATTTAAAATCAAATTAATATGCCGAGAAATAATTCCAAGCCATGAAAATACTATAAATTAGTAATGAAGTTAAAATTATTAAGGTGGGGTTTATTGCTTTGAATTCTCTGTCTGCATTCTTATTAAATCTTTGTGGACATTACCTCTTCTGATTTAATAAGACTATCTGATTCGTAAGAAAGAGCTAATATTGTATCACACAAATGAAAATACTGATGAACACACTGTAAAACACAATTCCTTGGTTTTGTTCTTTGGTAATTTAACTGTGCTACCACAATGCTAAATTCAATGCAAACATATTTTCCATAAAAGAAAATCCAACATCCAAAACAACCTCTAAATGAGAAGCCTGCCCAGCTGGTAGGCCTGAACATTTAAGAACTGATTAGTTCAGTCTGAAATGTCTATATTTGCAGTGTGTAGCAGATCTGAGACACTATTCCTTTTGTTTGTTTTCCTGGCAGTGGTAGAGTACCATTCGTATATTTGAATAACTCAATAATTATGCCCTGAGGGAACTTAAACTAGATTTTTATTTTGAATGCTCCATATTTTCCCATTTTCATCACTGATAAGGTGGTTAGAAAACTCTCTTTCCACTTTTAAATAGTCAAATATAAACATATATGTGCATATTACAGAATAAAAAATTTTATATTATGTTGATTTTCCCTATTGTATTCTCTTCCTTCCCATCATCTTGCCCTCAGAGATAAGCACCAGCCTGAATTTTGTATTACACATTCCCTCCCTTTTTAAACACTTTTTTCCATCAATGCAGATATTTCTAAATAGAATTTTTTCAATTCTTCCAGTTTTAAACTTTAGTTAAGTGGACTAATACTATAGCATTCTTTATTGACTTTATTCTTTTGTTCAAGATTATGTTTTTGACATTCATCCATGTTGATGTCAGTAGCTGAGATCATTCATTTTCCCAACTATATGGTATACCAAGGTATAAATACATCACAGTTTATCCTACTGTTGTTGGATATTTGAATTAGGTACAGTTAGAGACTATTATTAAAACTATTCCTGTCCCTTTTTCGGCCATCACCTAAGCGGGAGCTGCCAAAATGAAGTTCAATCCCTTTGTGACTTCCGACCGAAGCAAGAATCACAAAAGGCATTTCAATGCACCTTCCCACATTCGCAGGAAGATTATGTCCTCCCCTCTTTCCAAAGAGCTGAGACAGAAGTACAACATGCGATCCATGCCCATCTGAAAGGATGATGGTACAAGTTCAGGTGGTACAAGGACACTATAACGATCAGCAGATTGGCAAAGTAGTCCAGGTTTACAGGAAGAAATACGTAATCTACATTGAATGGGTGCGGCGGGAAAAGGCTAATGGCACAACTGTCCATGTAGGCATTCACCCCAGCAAGGTGGTTATCACTAGACTAAAACTGGACAAAGACAGCAAAAAGATCCTTGAACGGAAAGCCAAATCTCACTAAGTAGGAAAGGAAAAGGGCAAATACAAGGAAGAAACAATTGAGAAGATGCAGGAATAAAGTAATCTTATATATGAGCTTTGATTAAAACTTGAAACGAGAAAAAAAAAAAAAACTATTCCTGTGAATAACCTTGTGTGTGACTTTTGCCATACATGCCAAATACTTCCCTCCTACATGTGTAAACATCTGGGAGAGGAAATGCTGGATTGTAGGATATGCAAAAGTTAAATTTTACCATCTAATGCCAAGTAAATTGTACCACTTATACTTCCACTAGCTATGTGTGAGATTTCCTGCTGCTCCAGATCCTCACCAACAGTGGCACTGTCAGACTTTCGAAGTTGTGTCAAACTAGTCAACAGAAATGCTAGATGACAGTGTTGTAAATTTATATTAATTTGATTACTGACAAGGTTAACTAGATACTTACTGATTACATGTGTTACAAAAAATATTCTCCTAGTTTGTGGTTGTTATTTTTTAGTTATTCTTAACTAAACAGGAAGGTTTTAATTTTAATGTTCTAAACTTTTATGATTTGCAAATTTTTGACCTGGAGTTGACAAAAAAATCCTTCCCTACTTGTCAAAATTTTCTAATGACAAATTTAAAGTTTTATAATATGAATCTTTACATTTACCTCCCCCCACCGAGAACTGATTTATATGCAGATTCATAAAGTAAAATACCAATTTCAATTAGTTTTCCTCACGAATAGCCAATAGTCCCCCAGCCATTTACTGAATAACTTGTCCTTTTCAGATGGATCGATGTCACTTTTATAATTTATCAAGTACTCTTTTTCTCTGATGCCCTGCAGTCTCATTAAGATGGGTTTAGTTTTGGATTCCTATGGCTTAACTTTCACAGAATTCTTTAAATTACTCTGTCTAGGTACTGACTGATATCTTTTAATAGTTCCTGAAAATAATTATCTTTTTTGCATTCACTCTATTTGGAACCTCAGTTGAATATATATTACATCTTTCCACTCTCTCCACCCTGTCTCCCACATATTTTACATTTTATATTCTCTTATTCATATTTCCCCATGTTTAAATATCTGAACTTCAGTATTGATAATTTCTTCAGTTCTTTTAATGAAGTTAAGAAGTTCTGTTAAACTTACCCACTTTGTTCTCTCTTTTTTTCTAAAGTGTTACCTTGATTGCTTAGAAATTCTCTGGTTCTTTCCCAAATCTTGTCCACTTCTGACAGTTTTCAGCTTCTCTTTTATTTCTTATAGTTACGTTAAACATTGTGATTTTAATCCTGTGTATGATAAGCTTGATGTCTGAAAACATTCCAGATCTTTCTTATCTATAATTTCCCCCAGTTCTTCCCCCTAGTACTTTGTTTTCGTGTGTGTGTGTCTGTGTGTGTGACTTTTTTTAGTACTATGTTATTACCAGTTTTAATAACCTTTATCTTCCAGGCGGGTCAAGTGTAAAAATCCATACTATAAAACTATAGATTTATCATTAGAAAATTTTGACTTAAGTAGGAAAGGATTTTTTTTGTGAACTAGTCAGGTCAAAAGTTTACAAATTATAAAAGATATAAATATGTATCATTTAAAACATTAAATTAAACCTTCCAGCTTATCAAGAAAAAAATAAAAGTATAACCACAAACTAGGACCATATTTTTTAAAACACATAAAATCTGTGGAGTTTATTTGAAAATAGGATTGAAGTTGACATCTTCTAGGGGGAATAGTACTTCCTAGTTTCCCTCTATCATTGCTAATAACAGGGCTCTTAAGTTAAATTTACCAATTAGGGTTTTTTTTTTAAATCTACACACATAGTATAATTGGCATGTGTCTCTTGCCTATGCATTCAGCAAAGTGCCTAACAGTTTTTAAAAAATATTTTTTAACATCTTTAACCCAATATTATCATAATTTTAATCAGATTGTTCAGGGTCCGCAATCTGCTATAATACCAGAACTAGAACGGTACTCACATTTTTGGCCATTTTTTTCCCATGTGTTTTCTTAACTCTTAGATGGTGAGTTGTTATAAAAGGGTGGACCTGAATTCAAGTTTACTTCCCCAAATATAAGATTTCTGGTTTCAAAGTAATGACACTTCTGGGATCCATCATTGGGCTTTAGCAGAAATAAAATAGATGACCTCACTCATTCCCAGAGGTAAACCTCAGATTGCAGAAGACTATCAGAATCAAAAGTACAACACATCAGGAGCTGGACTTTCCACCGTTTTAAAGTTTTTACAGTTATTAGGCTGCAACCTTCAACTCTGTCACAAGAAAAACTGCAGAAGTAACCCTGAGGTCTGAAATTTCACAAGGAAAACCTGTATACTACTTACAGGAAGTTGTGTAGGTCCTCCATTTTCTTCATTTTTTGTGTGTTTTACTTCTTGGATTACCTTTAAAACTTCGAATCTCACCATCATTCTTGCTTGAATTTGGTGACCTGGTCACTGGCAGTAATCCTTGGGTCCAATCTTTTAGCTCTTTCTTTCCTCCACACGTAATTTGCCTTCCACAAAACTTTTCCTATCTTGGACCATATTCCATTTGTTCTTTTCCTCGATTTATAGAGTTATCTCTAGTCATCCCTTGTCCTCCTTAGGCACCCAACTTGTCTAGATCTATAAATTATCAAAAGTAGGACTTGGAATGGAATTACTTGCCTCCTCCAGTTAATGGTGCACTTACTACTCAAACCAGATTGTTGGGAGGGTTACCTGAATCGGTCTTCCATCAGGTGTCAGCACTTCTTCTGAAAGTTCCATCATCTTCAAGGCCATCAGAGCAATGGGTTTGGCATGGCAGAGGCTTTTTCTGTGGAGTCCTGCTGCAACACAGTAGGCATCACCTATTGTTTCCACCTGTAGCAATCACAAATAAAATGCAAATGTATGATAATGAACCCGAAGAGAAACGATTAGATATCAGCAATCACAAATGTTGCTGAAAAACATGTCAGCAAAACATCAATAAATTAAGCAATTAGACAACTGTGTATAATTACAGCAGAGTTTGCAAACAGCCACAAATACTGACATCTCACTCCAGGGCTGTTCATTAATGTTATCACCAGAGATGATCACTGAAATTAGGAACAACTGAAATATAAAATAATTATCCCCCACAAAAATAGAACTGTCAGTATTTTTCCTAGATCACTTCCAAATAATCGCCTTTTGCAGAGCCATTCCTTCATCTCCTTCCAATTTCCAAGTAGTCTTTTGGAAAGTATTTTTTCCCCAATTTTTTCATCTGAAGAAAATTGTTTCAAACTTTTAGATGTATCTGTAATTTTTGGTCACATATGTTCTTTCTTACTCTTAAAAATTGTAATGCGTAACGTTTCTTAAATATTCAGACTCCATGTGTCAACTACTTTATGTACATTGTCCCGTTTTATCTTCACAAATATCATGCATGAAAGAAACAAGTATTGGGCCAGGCATGGCGGCTCATGCCTGTAATCCCAGCACTTTGGGAGACCGAAGATCATGAGGTCAGGACGTCGAGAGCATCCTGGCCAACATGCTGAAACCCCATCTCTACTAAAAATACAGAAATTAGCTGGCCATGGGGGTGCATTTGTAGTCCAGCTACTCAGGAGGCTGAGTCAGGAGAATCACTTGAACCCAGGAGGTGGAGGATGCAGTGAGCCCAGATCACACCACTGCACTCCAGCCTGGAACAGAGCAAAATTCCATCTCAAAAAAAAAAAAAAAAGAAAGAAAAGAAAAAAGAAACAAGTATTAGTGATATTTGAAAGATGAAAAATTGAGGTGCAGAGACGTATTCATAACCATATATGTGAGACTTAAGAGGTACTATAGGGGTCTTTCTAGACCCTCTTCTAATTCTATTGTCAACATCCATTCTGAATGCCCATTGCCATTAAAAAATATTTTAAATATTTGCCACAGGTTAAAACTCCAGAATTTCCAAAGCATAGAACATGGGATAAAGTTCTACTATTTCAGAGAGAAGTTCTCTAATTATTCACGATAGAGATGGTGGTACTAATGGCAAAAATGCAATTACTTTTACACCAACCTAATAAAATCCTCAATAGTTTTAATATTATTAATTAGGCTGAAGTGATGAAACATTATACTAAATGCACAATTTCAATGTCACTTTTTCTGTAGTGTGCTCCATGTTCCTTCCATTCATTTCTATCAGATAATTTATCAAAGAACTAATTCTTTCTTTATTCTGTTTCAACAGCACTTCCACATCTCTCTGCTTTAACATTCAGCACAGGCTATAATCAATATGTATCTATATAAAATCAATACATATCCCTGGCTATGATATGAGCTTTTCAGAAATGGGACCATGGTTGTTTTTTTTTTTTTATCTCTGTATTCATAGAGCATAGCATAGTGTCTATAACATAGCTATTTAATAAATATCTAATGTTTATTGAATATCTGCTAAATGAGTAAGTTAACCATGTTAACCATAATTACAATAAGTAATTTTAACTGTTTGCTTATTTTCATCATTCATTTTATGAGCACCATCTAGATCTGTGTGCTATGTAGATCTGTATAGGAAAAATATGCATCAGTAATAGAGATGATTCCAGCATAGCTATACCAAGACTTAGAAAATAGTCTATTATTTTTTTAATATCAAAATTTAATATCAAAAATTAAATTTCCATGGAGAAGCATTCTAACACTATGGTATTAAAAAGATACACTGCATGAAATTATATGAACACTAATTTAGGGAACATTGTGAGAACACTTAAGAAGCTCATGGGACCAACACTGCAAAACTTATCACTTGATCATCAGGAAATATTCATAAAAACTGATTCAAATACTCCTAGATCTATCGTTATATTCAAAAATTTCACTTTAAGACTTGTTTTCTGATGCCAGAAAAATGATAACAAAATTATACTGTAAGAGTAGAAAGACAGTGCAATATAAGTTGGCAAAGCTTTTATTCCAAAGACTAAAATATGCTTCCTGGAAATAATGCTCACTAAGGAAGATACCCATCAAAGAATAAACATTTAAAATGTGGCTATTTAACAATTTTACCCTAATAAGACAATGTTCTTTGCTAATCCTCACATTATCCCACACTTTCATATTTGTATACACTTTAAAATTCTATGATGCTATTAGCTATGTACTTGGAAATTTATTTCTTTTCAGATACCAGAACATTTTCTACTAATATATATATATATATACACACACACACACACACACATGCACACACATACTAAATACATATATTTAGTTTCCAAATATTAGAAATAATAGGACCAAAGAGCTGGGAAAGACAGACATCAAAAAAGCGGTGACACATATTAGGAAGTGATTATTCATCAATACCCAACATATAGAAACTTAAAAAATGTTTTCATGGGCTAGGTTAGATTATGATACAGTAACAATATAACCTCCAAATCTTAATGCACTAAGTAAGCAAAAGTCTATTTCTCATTCATTCTACATATCACTTTGGGTTAAGGAATTGGGGTGGAGGACATAAACTCTGTGCCACAACTCTTCTCTTCAGGAACAATGCTATTAGAACCTTCACATCTGGAACTAGTTGCCACAGCAGAAGAAAAGAGGTTCTGATTAATTGTACAGGAGCTCTTAAAGCTTCCTCCGAGATGTGACATATATATCTTCTTTTTGTGATTCATTGACCAGAGCAAGTTGCATGGCTATGCTTAACGCACAGAGAATGGGAAATGGCAGACTACCTTGTGCCCAGAAAAGAATAGTCAGAAATACAGAAATATTTAGTAAATAGCATTGATGAAGACATGAATGAAGAAACAATCACTTACACATTCTCTAATATCAAAATGTCTGGAAAGTTTGAGAGATTCACATATACATTAAGTAAAGTCTAAGTAATATATATCTGTGATTTTTTTTCTTTCCAGATATATTCGGCACCTTAAGAATTTTGGCAGAAACACAACTGTCATAATGCAGCTTTCCATGAATGCTCCATTTTTCTCTCTTCTCCCTTCAAGGCAGCTCTATATAAGTTTAGCAAAATTAAATATATGTGGAAATGTTACTGGATTCCTTTGAAGTAATTAGTGGGTTTTGCTTCAAAAGGAGCAGGAAAAGTGAAAGTGGTATACATCAATTCCATTGCTCCTGAGTTTATTTCCTTGAGCCAAACCAAAATGAAACAAGTGGACACTGTAAACAGACTGCAAACAAAAAATGTCCAAAGAGTTGACTTTGTTCTGGATTCTTTTATAATTGCCTCAGTGTTTTTATATAGTTTTAAACACAACAGACACAGTTGAAAATAGTGCATTTCATTTATTTTCACCATCTCCCACCTGTTCATGAATGGCATTGGATAAGAATAAAGATGGCTAAACTAAGCATCGAGATGGGAAAAAGATAATACTTATGTAAATGTCTGAAAAACTTACATTATTTTCTGAACACAGAAGAGGAGGTTTGAGTACTAAAAATACGTACAACTGCTGCCTTACATATTACTATAGCTGCTTTTATAAAACTTTAAAGAATTTGCCTATCTCAGTTTATCTTTTCTCAAAACTTTAGGATCTAAATCCTCACATCATTCCAGAACAGAAATAAAGGTGGTGTAAATAAATTTATCAGAGCTACGCATTCACCTTTTGTGTGTGTGTGTGTGTGTGTGTGTGTGTGTGTGGCAGGGTCTTACTCTGTCACCCAGACTGGAGTACAATAGCATGATCTGGGCTCACTGCAACTTCTCCATCCAAGGCTCAAGCAGTCCTCCCACCTAGACTCCCAAGTAGCTTGGACTACAGGTGCATGCCACCATGCCTGGCTAATTTTTTTTTTTTTAATTTTTGTAGAGACAGGGTTTCGCATCTTGCCCAGGCTAGTCTCGAATACCTGGGCTCAAGAGATCTGCCCACCTCAGCCTCCCAAAGTGCTGGGATTACAGGCATAAGCCACTGCACCCATCCCATTTACCTCGTTTGTTTATTTTAGTTTTAGATAATTTTAAAGAATTTATTTTAGCTCCTAATAGAATTTCATTTTCATACCATTTTTCTCCTTGCCCTCTAGGCTAATACTCAAGAAATATCTGGGAATTTCTTGGATATTTGGTCACAAATGGAAAAAGGAGTGGGGGTAGGGGGGTCAGTATTGAGGATAAGATTAGCCAAAAAGAATAATGTACACAGGCAACTAACCATCCCTGTTCCATGGGACTCACGGCCACCTCAGTCCTTCAATCACATAGTCCTAGTTCTGTCCTTCTTTGAATTTTCTATGGGGCATAAGAGCAGAGGGTCAGAGAACTCTGGTAGTCTATCTTACTGAACACTGGGGATCTATCTTCCCCAGACTCAGTCAAGAGAAGCAGCACATTAGAAAGTTTGCTTTCTAGACATTTTGTACTCTGGGGCACTCCAGTGCCTTAAAAAGAGAAAGGGAAGGAGAGAAGAGAGATTGGAATGAGATGTAGGCAGACAGATGTAGACAAAACTTAAAGATGAGAAACACTTTCTTTTCCCTCCTGGTATCTCACAGAGCACTGGGACACCTGATCATGCTCACTGGGTGAAAGGGGGCTGGTAAATGTCCCATATTCTTCATGGGCTTATTGGCTGTGGCCAAGAATGCCTGGTTCTTAGAAAGAATGCGTATTTCCCTTGCTGAGAGAACTGGGCCACACCTGCCCGCCCAGTCACCTGATATTTGGTGTGGTTCCTAAGTGACAGGGAGGAGGGCACAGTAGAAGGTTTCTCCAGTGGTTGGCTGACAGTCTGAGTCCACGAGCAGTTGTGGAAGTCCTTGTTGACTAGAAACTGAACAATGAGGTCAGTGGCGCTCTGCACAAGAATATTCAAAAGGCCGTCCAGGACACACACACACACACACACAGCCCGCCCAGGCCTTCATGGATATTTACTAGTAAAAGAAGAGCAGGAAAAACTATCTTCTAGATTAAGAGGCCCTCTACTTTTTGTACTTCACCTCAGACACACAGCAATTTGCCACTGTTTATGTCCCTGTTTTGCCAAATAGTAGGGTGGCTGAAATGAACTCCTAACTAGAGATGAAAATCTATGTGATTGTGGTCAAGCAAAAGTATTAGGTCCATGGAATGCCCACGGGACATACCCAAAGATAAACAGCTTGCCACCAGCCTTGCACTCAGCCTTTTGTTGTTCTTGAGGTTGAGGTTCTTAAAGATACACTGACCCTCTTTGAAGAAAATTCATAAAGATCTACATCAAAAAGAGACAGGAAGGCCCTGACACAGACAAGGGTTCCACCATGTAGATGAAAGAATGCAGTTTTCATCATTTTCCTGCCTGAGACAAAGTGATGGCCATGTTCATAAAAGCCACATTCTTGAAGCTGGGAGCACTAAAAATCCGGAGAAGCCAAGATGCAAGCGGTCAGCACATCGACATCGCTGTTGGCCAAGCACAGGTCCAACAAGAGATGGCAGATGATCTGGAGCAGGGGCAACTTCTGAAAGTAGGAGTCAGCTACACTGATACCAAAACAGCCCGAGTATCTCCATGGATTGTCCTGCTGAAGGTAACCTGGCTTTTCCTCCACATAACAGTTGGTATTTCAGGAGCTGGGCCAGAGATCCCTTTAAAAATAACAGCAATCTTATCAGGTTCTGGAAGGCTACAGTCTGAAGACCAGGTGAAGAACTGACAGGTGATATCCTGATCCTATAGGAATGGGACATGGGATCCTTGCCATGTAACTGGAATGAAAGGGAATGCCACTTGTCCAGAGGATCTGACCCTGTATTCTTTAATGATTACTTTGTTTGTGAAATAAAGGTTTGTTCAAAAACAGAATCTGAACATGTAGCATGTCCTTAGATGTCTAAACTCTTTGTACCTCTTAATTTAGATGATCCTCAGCAAATCTGCATCTTGGCCCCTATGCATGACCTTTGGGTGGGGGTGGTTTCAAAAGGTGGCATCCCAGAAGGTGAGTATGTGTCTATTTTGTTTGATGAATCTGTGGTCTCCTCTGAGTGTCACCATATCCACCCAAATGTGGGCTCCAGCTGGAGGAAGGCCCTGTTAGCCTGTGCACATACTGTCTCCAGCTGCAGCCTTCAGAAAGTCCTTGGCATTTATGGGCCAGGATTTTGCCTTCTCCTTCATCTCTGTCACTTTATTTTCCTTCATCATTTCCTCTCTTCTCTACATGGAAATCACTTCATCAACTCTTCTTCAACCTACATTTCTTCCTCCTCCAGCATCTCTCCACCTTCTTTTCACTCACCACCTCCTCAACTTTCCTCACCTCTCCTGCTGGTATTGAGAAAATGGCACACTCCTCAGTTATCATTGTTTTAGCCAACTCACCATACCAGCTATTGCCTGAGTCCCAGTCCCAGCCACAGCCCTGTAGGATATTCTCCCAGTACTTACGCAGGTTGGGAGGCTACTCCTTCCTGAAAGCAGGATGCTCACCAGGCCCAGTGGAGCCAGTAGAAAACTAAATCATCATAGGGGATGACTGCGGGGTACCTGAAAACTGCCATACCTCTGTCACCCTAGCTCTACAGGAGGGGGTGCCCCTGGTCCCAAGTTGCTGGGATCAGAGCAAGAGATAAACAAAACTGCGTAATAAGAGGCTCCACTTCCCATAGGGAACAAAGAAGCAGCCTCTACCTCTTTGGCAGCTGGGCATAAGCATACGCATTTTAATTAGACATTATAATGTGAATCTACTGCAACAGTTTAATTTTATTCTTCCCCATAAATGTGATTACCAAAAAGCAAAATGATTAGAATGTTCTTTTTCGTTTCTGTAAGTAATCTTGTAGTCATTAAATATTAACATCTACATTATATGATCTTATTTTATGATGCTAAAGGTTAATATTCTAGCAATAATTTTGTATATTATTGAGATTTATGCTACAGAGGCTGGAGCTCCATACTTGTCATCCATGTGAAGTCATGGGTAATATCTGTAAAACTAAGGAGTGATAAAAAGTCATTAAAGTAACCTTGTAATACCTCTAACTTTCTATGGGCTTACTATCTGTCATGTGAAGTAGTGAAAGTCCTCAGTTGGCATTGCCATTAACCTACACTGGCACTTCAGAGAGAAGAATCTGTGTACATAGGTGTCCACTCCTTGCATAGGCTCAGGAAAATAAAAGGTCACCTGTTCCTAAAGCCCACCATTATTTTTAGATGTGGGCAGCTTTTTTCTCCACTACAGCTTTAAATTCAAAGCTGATTATTATCAGAGACCCTAAGAGAGAGGATGGATTAAAACTAGGCTTTTTTACTCTTTCAAAATGCCCCCTGAAAGCCTCATGGATGCATATATTACTTTTAAAGGAGAAGATGCAAAAAGAAAAGAAAAACTATTTCCACTTCACTGAGTACACAATTCTTTCAGGGTACATCCCAAACAAAACTGCAAACTAGGCATAGTCTATCTCAGGACTCAGCCCGCAGTATTTTCAAGTTTTCTTTCCCAGTTTCTGGATCTGTAATTTTCTTTCTTTTTGTTTGGCAAGGGGAGAATCTGTAACTTTCTTACAACCATATCTGATGGACAAATTTCTATCACTCTCACAGTATGTATCGTGTGTGTGTGTGTGTGCGTGCGTGTGTGTGTGCGTGCGTGTGGGTGTGTGAAGCCTGTTTGTGTGTGTGTGTGTGTGTGTGTGTGTGTGTGTGTGTGTGTGTGTGTGTGTATTTCCTCTCCCCCTACTAGATATTAACTTTATATCCCGGGACCTGAGTGCAGTTATCAGGATGCACATATGAGTTCAATTAGATGCTTTAAATTACATCCAATTTCTACATTTAGGGGTCAGAACTGGCCCTTAACAAAGTTTTCAATTGCAAAATTCAGGACAACCTGCTTAAGAATCACCAATAGGGTATTTGTTAAAAGTTAGATTCCCAGGATCCACTTGATTTACTGAATCAAAAAATGGATATGAGGCCCAGCTATCTGCATTCGCAAGCTCCAGTTGTTTAATGATTCCCAAGGTCTGAAGATTTCTGTATATGAAGTGAGTTAAAAATAGTACAATATTCACCCAGATATTCACCTTTTTTTAAAGAGCAGTGGCTTTCAGAAAGGAGAAAAGCCATTCTAACCTGACCCCAGTTAGTCCCATGTACTCATTTTCTGTCTTCCACTCTATCCATAGGGATAATAAACTTTTCCAGATATTTCCTTGTTTGTTGCAAGTGCAGACCACAACGACCAGTCCAAATGTGCATATGCACACGCACACAACACACGCTGAAAATCATCTGGCACAGTAGGCATTCAATGATCCAAAGAAAGTTTGTTGAGCTCAGTTAAACACACCCAAGCTCATTGTACATAATGATTTAGCAATCCAAATGGAAACAAGTTTAACTAAGGATTTTACTGATAAGGATACTTAAAAAAAACAAAACAAAACAAAAAAATACCTCTTCATTCTTTCTTTTAAAAAAAATCTGTCTAATTATACTCATTTGGGTTGATATTTTTGACCCAAATACGGTGCTTTTAAGGATGTCTCTACAGTGCTCAGCTGGTACAGTGTTGAAAAGGAGGTCATGGATATAAATAGAACAGTGATTTGGCCTGGGAACTACTCCCAAATGAAGGAAAATGGATTCCAAATGACTGCCTATCACAGAAAGCTCTCCTCCTGATAAAACTCCCAGTAGACCTTTCAATGTGCATTCCAGTTCCTGCACAAGAATCTCCATTGTGTGGAAAATATTGTTTCTACATCCCAGGCTGTTTGTCATAAAGGATATTGAATACTGAGGCATGTTAGGAAAGAGAAATACATAAAAATATCCAGAAATACATCAAAATTTCATTCTAAATCATTGTTAGATGTGGGTAATTCAAAACTTCTTTCTGATAAACAGTCCTGTAAGATCTTCAACAACAGGGCTCCAGTTTCCCAGGTTCATCCACCTCTACCATTGTAATTTACTCCATGTTCCAATCAGAATGGATAACTCAATGTTCTTTGCAAACTTTCTGTACCTCCCACCACCATATTAATACTCAAAGTTATTGCTCTACCTAGGATTCATCCACTCTAAAATAATATTGAGTCTATTACTTTTCAAGGATCTCTGATTTACCAGAACTTTAAACATACCCTCAGAGAATGGCAAATGTCTGCTATATTTTGAAAAAACACATAAGTGATGCTAAATAATGTTAATTGATGTCACAAAAGTAAATTCTGTGATCCAATTAGCGTATCAGGTGAAAATATTTCATTAAGAATTTGTTTTTTAGGATTTTTGTTTTCCAGTTTCTTTTTTATTAATTTTTTGATTTTTAATTATGGGTACACAATACATATTTATGTTTACATGAGAGATTTTAATAAAAGTGTGAAATGTGTAATAATCACATTAGGGTAAATGGAATATCCATAACCTCAAGCATTTATCCTTTGAGTTACAAACAATCCAATTATTCTCCCTTAGTTATTTTTGAATGTACAATTAAATTATTTTTGACTATTATCATCTTGTTGTGCCAGCAAATACTAGGCCTTATTCATTCTTTCACTTTTTAGTGTCCATTAACTATCCCCACTTCCCCATGACTACCCTACTACCCTTCCTAGTGTCTGGTAACCATCCTTCTGCTGTCTATCTCCATGAATTCAATTGTTTAAATTTTAGTTCCCACAAGTAAGAATGTGGGAAGTTTGTCTTTCTGTGCCTGGCTTGTTTCAGTTAACCTAATGACTTTCAGGTCCATCCATCTTGTTGCAAATGACAGGATCTCATTCTTTTTATGGCTGACTAGTACCCTATTGTGTACATGTGCCGTATTCTCTTCATTCATTCATCTGTTGACGGACACTTAGGTAATTTTCAAATCCTGGCTATTGTGAATAGTACTGTAATAAACATGGGAGTGCAGGTATCTCTTCCATATACTTATTTCCCTTCTTTTGGGCACATACCTAGGAGTAGGATTGCTGGATTGTACGATAGTTCTATTTTCAGTTTTCTGAGGAACCTACAAACTGTTCTCCATACAGGTTGTACTAATTTACATTCCCGTCAACAATGTGCAAGTGTTCCCTTTGCTCCACATTTTCTCCATTATTTGCTACTGCCTGTCTCTTGGATAAAAGCCATTTTAACTGAGGTGAGATACTATCATATTGTAGTTTTGACTTGCATAACTGTTTGCCATTTCTCTTCTTTTAAGAAATATATACTCAGACCTTTTGTTCACTTTAAAATCAGATTATTAGATTTTTTTCCCTATTGAGTTGTTTGTACTCCTTATATATTCTTGTTATTA